TTACGAAAAAGGGGAAGATTTCATATATAAAAAATTAAGTATGATCAATTTTAAAACTAAGCAAGAAGGTTTAAAACTTTAAAAATGAGATATTAATTAAATTTTAATTAAAAATAATTAATTAAATATATTAAGATCACAATTTTATATTATTTGGTCACAAATTATCGAATTAATTGATCACAAATTATTTCTCAATCACAAACCAAAAATTTTATAGGCCACAAATTATTTTTCGATCACAACTTGAAAAACTTATAGATCACAATTTATTTTTGATCACAAATCACGAATTTTATAAATCACAATGTACAGGTTTTCGGTTACATATTATTTATTGATAAAAAAAATATCTAATTTATTGGTCACAATATCAAATAATTGGTAACATATTTTTAATTGGTCATAAGTTAAATTATTTATTGTTCACAATGAATCAAATAATTGGTCACAAATGCCCCCACCCCACCCAATCCAACCCAACCCAACCCAAGCCATCCCACCCACAACCACCACACTACCGCCACTGTCGTCATTGCCCACCACCACAAACACTGGAGATAATTAAACGAATAATCACTTAATTTTATTATAGGTTACTACTTGTTCACCGATTTTTTAAAAGTTACTAATTGCTTATTCAACTTCGCCGTAGGTTCCTACTTACTCATCGAAATGTACAAGGTAACTCAATATTAACCTAAATTTAAATAAAATTACTCATTGCCCACTAAACTGTGTAATATGTAACACTTCTAAAAGTGATATGGGTGATTGATGGACAACTTTATTCAAATTTAGGTGAATAATAAATAACATTTTAAATTTTGATGAGCAAACATTAATCTATAGCAAAATTCAGTTACCAGAGAATAACCTTTTAAATTTCGATGAACAAATAGTAACTTATAACAAAATTTAGTAACTATTGATTAAATTAACTCACAAACAATGCGACCATCTGCAATCACCACCAACTACCCCAAACACTGAGGAAATTGTTGGAAATAACTGGATAACCCATCCCTATTTCCAAAGTAACATTTGACCTCCTTTTTAATTTTAAAAAAAATCGAATTTAAAGCCTAAAATCCCAAAATACCCCTCAGCTTCTCACAAAACTGAAAAAGTAAGGTCAGTTTCCAGTCGGTCGGAGAACTTGCTAGTCTATCGCCGACGAACTACTTCTTGTTAAGGTAATCATTATTTGGTTGGATTAATGTTTAGATTTTGGTTAAAGGTGTAAATGATTTATTTGTTGAAGATTTTTTCAATATATTTTTGTTTATATAAGTAAAAAAGGGTTTATATAATGTAAAAAATCGTTGATTTTTTGAATTTGGAAGCTTTTCTTGCCGAAAATGGTGATTTTCCGGCGAGAAAGGTTGAAGAAGGCCGCATTTTTGGCTTGCACCCGACTGTTAACAGTCGGGTTGATTGCTAACCTGACAATCGGGTAACAGTCAGTATTGGGCTGACTTAAATGTTAGCAGTCAGTATGGGCTGATTGTTCCCAAATTAATGGCCCGACTGTCCGCCCACTTTTTTTTTTTGCCCAATTTTTTTCACATATGATTTAATAATTTAATTTTAAATAATTTTTATTATCTGGTTTTAATAAATAATAAATTATTTAGTTTGTCGAATTTAAATAAAATTGGTACAACTAAATTTAAATAAATTTTTTACATTTAATTTTTGTTTTAATATTTACTTTTATTTTTTTCATTTTTGGTAAATAAAAATTTGAAATAATTGTTGGGAATTTTTTAATTGTAATTTGAAATAATTGTTGGAAATTTAATTTGAAATTTAATATTTATTATTATTATTATTAGTTTTTGATAAATAATATTATTTTCGTTCATCGAATTTAAATATTTTTTGAACTTGAATTGATTAAAAAAATTGTGATAATTGGAAAAATTTGACATTATTGATAATATGATAAAAAAAATCACATTATTGATAGTTTTAATTATTATGAATCTGCATCTTGCGTATTATAATTACAATTTCCTTCGGCAATCGGGGGGTAAAATTTCCAGTCGATGTTCGAGTTTGCTCTGATCATAGGATTAAAGATTACGGGCAATGAAGCAACTGGTGAGGGACTTAGAGAAGAAATAGGCTTCATGACGCTTACTTTGAGAGACAGGAACCGTGCTTCTTACACAGCTGTTGAACACAATCAAGAGGTGTGATCAGGTGTTCGACAGACTAAAGTTAGGTCTGGTCTACATCCTTGAGAGCATGGTGCGGTGTTACCATAAGAAGACTGTGATCGATCTCTTCCATCTAGAGATCGTTGAGGACATCGATCATTTCAACGACTATCCGTGGGGCCGGAGATATTTTGAGGACACTGTACACGTTTTCACCATATCGCACTTGAAGCCGAAGGGAGCCATGTGTAAGTACGACACCTATGGATTGCCCCCGACGGTGCAAGTAAATGGTTAACATAATGAATGTTAAAATTATTTTCATTTTGAATTTATATATAATAATTGTATGTGTTGCAGATCTGGGCGTATGAGACCGTCCCCATACTGGGTGCTCGCTTTGTGAGGCGAGGGAAGACATGCTGCCCTCGGATGCACCATTGGAGATCATCTCGATCAGAGGGATGTCCCACTGGGAAACAGTTATCGACTATCCTCGACAAGCCTCAGGTGAGTATTGTGCATTTGTAATTTATATTGTGCGTGATTTAACATCTGATTGCATGATCGTTAACTAATTCAAATATTAATATGTCAGTTTGAAGTCATAACTGAGTTGACGCTGTCGATCGAGGAAGAAGCTCAAGGTCTTGTGCGTGAATTAGGCGTTTCGCACACCCAAGACGACCAGATGTCCGATCCGATCCACAACCGATATTGGGTGATCTAATTGAATAAAATCTATTGATTACCATTTTGTATGAGTTAGCAATTACGGATTAAGTTAATAATTTGTAATGTTGTTGCTTGTGTAGGAGCGTGATCCAGTTGATCAACGATCACCTTCGTCGAGGGCATCACCACCTCCATCGAGGGCATCTCCGTCGAAGGCATCTCCTCTGCCGTCGAGGGCATCTCCTCCGCCTCCCCCGTCCAGAGACCTTTCATGTGAATCTCCCACACATAGTCAGGGGCACTGTTTTGATGATCTGTACGCTCGTCTAAACAGATTTATAGCGGACAGGTCGACGGCTTGCGTCGAGAGATGATAGAGAGGGTTGATGATCTGGGATAACAGTTGGTAGGAAGGGTCGAAGGTTTGTCGAATGAGATTGCAGTACTTTGAGGTGATATAGCCGGTAAGCGATGGGTTGACGGAGATGGTGATTGAGGGGGTGATAGTGTAACGCCCCAAAAATTTTGGAATAAAAATATATTTGTCTTATATGTTATAGTTTTAAAATTTGAGGACTGAAATGAAATAGCCTTTAAAGTCATATTTTATTTGGCACCAATAATTACATTTTGATAGAATGAGTATAAGTATATCAATATTGGGCTCATTTTGTAGCTCGCATTTAATAACGTATTTTCAGCTCAACAAAATATGAGTTCTTTTAAGTTAAAACTAAGTTATTTCAATTCAAAAAAACATAGATAATAAGCATCGTTTTTATTATTATTTAACAATTTTCTTTTAAGATAACTAGGAAAAGAAGCTAATATTTTATCATAATAATCAATGTTTATTTTTTCTATTAGAGAAAGAGATTTAATTATTTTTAATCCTTGTTTACATTTATCTGCCAATATTTCTGATTTTCTGGTACTCGTGATTTAAGTAGTTTGCAAAGTAATATGTAGGGAGAGATATTTTTAAAGTATTGTATGATTTAATAGACTACCAGAACTTGTATATGCTTCGTTTAACTTTTTTCTATTTTATTTCCAGAGCCATGCACATGATAGCCGGAAGGACTATATTGGACGCATACAAGTGGTTTCATGATATCACCACTCAAGGGGCTTGGCTCGCCGACGATGTAAGTGAAGTGTTATTGTTACTTTTTGTATAAATTATGTTTAATTTGGTAAATGAAATAAGTATTTATGTCTTTGTTTTCCTTGATGTAGCACATCGACATGGCCATGGACTTGTTGCGCGATCGAGTTGAGAGATATCCACAATCATTCCACAAGCCTGGCCGCATAATACTGAACACCGAGTTCTTCCGTGCCGTTACCATTGAGTATCAGTCCCTCCAGCTTTTAGATAACGAATACGTGCTTCCCGCGTATGTGCTCGAGTGGGTCATCGGGCTGTCACCGACTATTAGAGGAAAGCCATGGGAGGATTGTACGCATTTGTATATTCCAGTTATCGTGAATCAGCATTGCATTGCACTGGAGATTGTGTTCCCTGAATCGACGATATATGTGTACGACCCCGATCATTCATGTTTGACACAGGGACAGCTCGAGCAGATCTTAGAGCCGGTGACTGTGATCGTTCCTATGATGGCTAGACACGCGGGCTTGACTGTGGATGATAAATTAGTCATCGTGCGGGACACGGCAACAGCGAGACAGTCTATATCGTAAGTGTTTGTAATCTTTTTTTTTAATTTAGTAATCAGTTTGTACGTAATTGAAACCGATCTAACACATACTTGTTCATTTGCAGGGGTGACTGTGGGATTTTCATAATAAAAAACATATAATTTTTTAGTATAGCACATAAGGTTGATGGAATCAACGAGTCATGGATACAGAATTGACGAAATAAGTTAGCGTGTGATTTATACGAATTTAATTGTGATCCATAAATTATTTGTAAATATTTTTTGTAATTAATATTTGTAATTATTTTTTGTGATTATTTGTAACTATTTTTCGTAATTGTTTGTAATTATTCATGTAAATACTGTTTATTTCAATGTAAATACTATTCATTTCAATTAAATACTATTCATTTAAATGGAAATACACAATGCTCTAACTATCATTTAGGGGAACCTGACTTGCACAAAATTGGCTAGTATGTCCTACTGATTTTCATCTGCTACACCTATGCGGTCGGAAAAACTCTCCAGTAGATGGTATTCTAGAACTATTTGGACGTCCAGGACCACGTGGTTCAATGAGAGGTGGCGACAATGTATTGAACGGGCGAATATGATCGAGAACTTCCCACTCGACTTCGTTTGGAAGCGAAAATATGGTTTCAACATACGCAGCTCTCCAGTTTTCGGCAGTGTAATAAGGAGAGCACAATGCTCTCGCTGTAAATTCTCGATACATAGCCACCACAACTGCATGCTCACATGGAAGACTCTCTAACTGAAATTATTTACAAGTGCATGTTCTATCATTTAAATCTACCATGTATACCGTATGACGTGCACATTCCACAGAGAAGCACGACTCGTCTAGTGGTTCGACATTTAACTTTCTTGCAGCCTCTGCTGCCTTGAAGAGCTTTACCTCTTGTGCTGGGGCTAGCGTGATTGTGCAACTATGTGATTCCACACGTCGATCGTGAAACCACTGTTGCAGCTTCGTACGGATATTCTCAATCAGTGCGAGAATGGGGAACTCTCGATCCCTCTTAAATAATGTATTGAAAGACTCCGCGTTGTTTGACGCCATCATGTTGTATCGATGTCCTGGAAAATATGAGTGCGCCCAATGTTCAATCCCCATTTTCGTTAGATAGTCCCATGTTGGGAATGATTTGCTTCCTATTTCAACCATGTACCTATTACACTCTTCAATACTGTAAGCTTCGGCCGCTCCCCCAAACAATGAAACGATGTCTTTGCCCCAATACCTGGTCTTCAAGTTGCCTTGTATATGGTACATGCAATACCCATGATGTGCATCGGGAAAAATCTCAACAATACCATTTATTATAGACTGTCCCCAATTGATGACAAATGCAAGGTCCTCGACTTCTCCGATTACTTCCCTGAGTTTTGTGAAGAACCAACACATCGACAGATCATTCTCGTTATCAACTATGCCGAATACAAGAGGGTAAATTTGAATATTAGCATCTTGACATGTAGCAATAATCAACTTGCCTTGGTATTTGGATTTCAGAGTTGTATTGTCGACTAGAATTAGGGGTCGCATAATATTTCGAAATCTCTGAATGCATTGTCCAAAAGCCATAAAGAAGAATTTGAAGCAGTTATCGGCCTCCGTCTTAATAAAAAATGTCGAGCCAGGATTAGTTTTCTCCATGTTATGGTAATATTTGACCAATTTAGCATAGCTTTCTTTGGGCTTCCAGGCCTTCCATGTTATGGCAATACCTGACCGAGCCCATTAAATCCTCCAACGCACATTCTTTGGCCTTTCAGACCTTCTGGTAGCTTATGACTACTCCGTACTCTCGACGAACATCGTTAATGATGTCCGATGATCTGTAGATTGTCCGTGGATCCTGATATTTGTGCATTATCTATCGACCAATAAACCAAGCTCAGGCTTGCCTGTGATCATTGCGACAAACTCCCACTTTACAAGTATGTTCTCGTGTATATTTGTGAATTACAAAGCACTCACTCGTGTCCATCTTCGTTGCTCGCAAACGCCAACTGCAACTATGATCTACGCATGATAGCGTCAACAACGACCTATTGGATTTTTTCACTTTAAACTCGAAATTGTATTTCAGTGCAATTAGGTGCACGGCTTCTTGCAGATCTTTCTTTGTTTCAAATAGTTGCTCGACATACAAATCCTCATTATCAGGAACCACACGTGAGGAGTTAGAGGACGGTCCACTTGATCTAGCCCCCGAGGTGCCACCCCACTTATGTCTCTACCGGGATAAAGCAATCAAGTCCTCGTTTGTAAAAGTATTTGCATTTTCATTCTCGTTGTCACGAGCAGTGGAGGGGATTCTGTGTGCAACTATCTCTGAAATAACCACATCATCTTCACGAGCTATCTCCACCGTATCCCAAAAATTATTAGCATTGTGATCCCCACTTCCCGAGTCTACTTGTTCATCTTCGACGACATCCTTCCTTACTAAAGTCACGCAAGGAGGAGTCGTGTGCTTATTGTTTAATTCAATCAGATAATTCACTTTATCAACAGAAGAAATCATTATAGGTGGAATCGGAATTGATGCATGCTCGCTGAATTTAAATTTCAATTCCATGTTGTACTAAGAAGGATCAACATTCAACTTGTTCTATAAATCATTATAGAGTTTTGCATACGATGTATCTGATGATATGGAAATTGCGATACCACCACGTTTAGCACTTGTCCATTTTCATACCCAATGATCTCTTTCTTCCAATTCAAAATCACTAAAGTAACAAACTGAGACTACAACCATATTTGCATGTCGAAACAGAATTTTTAATTACAAGAAAAATATCAACAGCAATAAAAAAACCCAAAAAAGCGGGGGAAAAAGAAAACAGTTGACAAATAGCCGACTGTTTTTCCAGCTGTTTGACCGACAAATAGTCGATTCACCAACACCGGCATTTACGCAGATGAATTTTTTCTGGTCAAATACTTGAAAAATTACAGATCTATTAAGTTTTTTTATCTACTAATCATTAAATGTCGAAATACAATTTATCAATTTAAACATACAATAATTTGACGAAAACAAGATTAAATTTGCGTATATAAACTTACCGAACCGACAAGATTGATGTCCACAAATTTTTCGACTTTCGATTTCGATAAATTTTTTAGTTTCTACAGTTGAAGCAGATGAATGATGAGAGTGTTTTATTTATCTGTGTTGGAGTAAACAGATAAAAAATGTAGGAAGTGTTTGATTTTTATTTGTTAAGTGAAAAGATATTCATGTCTTTTAAAAAAATCAACTTTTGTAATTGTATAATGTATTTAAGGGTATTTTTGTCTTTTAACATTCGATAGACCATTTTCATAATATCCCTTTGTTGAGAAGTCAATGTGGAATTTAGATAATTTGACCAGGTCAATTTTAAAAATACCCCCAAACACTTCGACATCCAAAAGTCTAGATTTTCCCTACATTTTCCATCACTAGCAATGCTCATGCCCAAAACCATCCCCGCCCAAAATCAGCACCATTATCGTCGCCTAAAAATTGCAAAACCACCACATGGCCTCCACCACCAGTTGTACACAACCAACAAAACCCACCCCAAATTTCTTGACACCAAATGGTGACCAAAATTCCCCAAGTCGAGACCAACAAAACTTACAAAACCAACAAATCTCCTACAACAGTGGTGTTGGCCCATCATTTGCCACTGTAGCAGAGACGCTCAACCAACTCGCAAAGGTATTGTCGCTGCAGCAAAGCCGCGTCATTATAGCAGTGATCTTCGACGAAAGTTTTTGGTGGTTGGGATAAAGGGATGGAAGAAAGAAAAAAGAAATGAGAGAGAGAGAGAGAGAGAGAGGAGATAAAAGAGATGGTAGAAAGAGAGAAGAGAATAGGAAGATGATTAGGGTTTTGGATGGGTGGTTGTATATGTATATTAATTTTATTTTGTAATAATTATTAATATTAAAATTTTGAATTAATATCTGATTTTTGTATTAACAAACTTTAAATCTGATTTTTGAAATAGAATCTTAAAAAATCTAGTCAGGTGCAATTTCCTTAAAAAAAAAAAAAAAGGGTGGCAACCCAAGTAAAAAAAAAAAAAAAATGTAGCTCGACTTCACTTTCCAGCCCAAAAATTCCTAACGCACCAATTTTTTTTTTTTTAAGCCCAACAAAACCAATTGTTAACATACCCCCAACCCAAAGTACCAAATGATGTGGACCCGAGAGCAAAAAGACTCACGAACCCACAACTAGATTGCCACAGTTCCCAAGAACGCCAATGAGTCGATGATTTAGGATTTAATCCCCAAACAATGATTCAAACAATTGTTAATACATGAAATTAATGACCTTTTGAATACACGGTTTAAGAATCTCATCCGAGTTGTTGAACGCCACGAGAAAATCATCCCGATAAGTTCGATAATTTTTGGAGCATAAAGCTCCCAGAGAAAAATTTCATTAATCTCAATCTCAAAATTCTGCTGATTAAAATGATAGCAATAACTATTTATACCTAAACCCTAAAATAATTAAAAAGGAAATAAAATATTAAAAACCTAATTTAAGAAAGTAAAACTCGTCTCCTAATATAGCAAAAATATCAAAAGAAAAGTATTCTAGTCAAAGTTGGAAACTCGAGTGACATTGGAAGATTCTGGTCTCAAATTGCCTTATACGACCGCATTGAAGAATAGGCTGCGGTCGCATGGTTATCCTGATATTTGCCGGCCAAAGTCCTGCCTTTTCGGTTGCGACCGCATGGAGTTTATGAGTTGCGGTCGCATGGCTTCTGAAATCTGGCCCTTTTTTTAATTGACTTGGCAGAAGTTAATCCCAATTGTTTCACCCATTAATCCCAACACGAATCTGGACAATTGGCTCATTAACTTCATCTCCTCAGACTCTTTCGCTCACATGTAAAATTGCAAGGCTCGTTGGCTGGAATTAAATTCAAACTTTGCACTTGATTTTCTTCCAACAATCACCAATTCTTCAGTTGTTTTTGGCGCACCCCGGATCACATCACCAAACTATTCCCAATTCCCACTTGTGATTTCCATGTGAGTAATTAGCAGAAAATGCCTCTATCGTCTGTATTCATTGTCAAATTAATCCCTATCATTTCAAATTTGACATTTGCACTCTCATTTCAAACATTTCTTATAGAATTGGTTATTTTCATCACTTTCCTTTAATTCCACCATGAAATAAATGCATGGAATACACTCATTATTTTAAAAGTGTAAATTAGTCAAGTCACTATATTTTTTTTTGGAAAAAGATCTTTGGATATGCTAGACTATATTGCAGAGAATTTTATCGTATCCATTCAAAAAAGTAAAAGGAGAATTGAAATACAACAAAATCCCAAAATTGAATAAGCCACACTCAAACCTCACACTTTCCAAAATCCTCCAAAATGAAGATGCCACCTCTTGAACCCAATTCCAGTATTCCACTACCAACTTCCCAGCCATGAAATAAATGCATGGAATACACTCATTATTTTAAAAGTGTAAATTAGTCAAGTCACTATATTTTTTTTTGGAAAAAGATCTTTGGATATGCTAGACTATATTGCAGAGAATTTTATCGTATCCATTCAAAAAAGTAAAAGGAGAATTGAAATACAACAAAATCCCAAAATTGAATAAGCCACACTCAAACCTCACACTTTCCAAAATCCTCCAAAATGAAGATGCCACCTCTTGAACCCAATTCCAGTATTCCACTACCAACTTCCCAGCCACTCCAAACCCAGCAACTTGAATGTCGATGTCAATAAGTTTTATTTTCAATTTCTGAAAATGAGTTGTGGTTTTTAATAAATCAGTTTTACTCCGAGTAGCGATCCTAGTTGAATCGATATACCAATTTCTTGAGACTTGTACTAAAAAGGACAATGGCATTATAAAACTCTTCATTGCATTTGCTACCATTGTCATTGTGTTGAGTTTGAGTGATAAATACTATTTTTTTTTTCAAACAGAAATAAACTTCTTAGCAAAACCTTATTGGAGACACCAAAAACCATGAGACCAAAATCCACAATTTAGGTTGTCAAATGGGAACTAGATTGCCACAGTTCCCAAGAACGCCAATGAGTCGATGATTTAGGATTTAATCCCCAAACAATGATTCAAACAATTGTTAATACATGAAATTAATGACCTTTTGAATACACGGTTTAAGAATCTCATCCGAGTTGTTGAACGCCACGAGAAAATCATCCCGATAAGTTCGATAATTTTTGGAGCATAAAGCTCCCAGAGAAAAATTTCATTAATCTCAATCTCAAAATTCTGCTGATTAAAATGATAGCAATAACTATTTATACCTAAACCCTAAAATAATTAAAAAGGAAATAAAATATTAAAAACCTAATTTAAGAAAGTAAAACTCGTCTCCTAAT